GTCGGACATCAGTGTGGCTATCATTGGCTATATGTAACATGGAGAAAAAGCTAATTCTACACTGAATTTATAATCAAATTAACTTAAGAAAACTGTTATAACTTAGGTTTGTCTAAGGAGCCCAGAATGTGAAAATATCAAACAATTACAACAAGGTAAGGTTTAAATAATGTATTGAAATGATAATTATAACAGGAAACAAGGTGAAAAATGATTCAACAGACAACAGGCATTCTTTCAATTTAACAAATAATCCATAACTTAGACAAAGAAGGAGGAAAGGGAACAAAAAAAATAAAATAAAATTAAGTACTCATCCAAGGTCCAAGAGTTCTTGATATCAGTCTTTGCTTTAGAATTCAAGTAATTCTCAGTTTTGTGTAAGAATTCAGGTGATCCTCAGTTTCTGTATTTGACAGTTTCAATCTTTTTCCCACCAGTCAAGTTGAATCAGGTGGTGGCCCAGTCCCAGCTTGCTTGCCATCTTAGTTGAACTGTTGACTTCAGGGAAAAAAGGATAACAAAAAAACCTGACCTTAAGGGTCATAGGAAAAAAAAAAATCCCTGATCAACAAGACAAAACAATAACACAATTCATGAACCTCAATGGATGTTAAAATAATTAAATAATAATATTGATTCAAATTAACTTAACATACAAGAAATTCCAAAACAAACATAATAAATTAGTTTACAATGAAAAGAGACTAAATGGCAAGAAAAATAGCCACAAAATCAACCTTCTCCAAAAGAATGAACAAAAATTAAACAGAAAATAGAGTCTCGCGTACGGAGACGCCGGGCCTTAAATTATCATTTACTTCAATGGGGTTTGGTCCATGTACACTCGTTCACAGTTTGTGGAACCACATCACTAAATGAAAATAACAAAAAATAATAACATGACTGAAGTTAAACTCACCGCAAGTGAATGGGGTGGTCTTTTTCAGGATTCCTATTTGGCTTTACCAGTGTCCAGCACTGTCTAATCCTGCGCCACGCTGCACTCCTGTTTGAAGGAGACAAAGAAAGGGAAGTGATTTGTAACCTGGATATTGATGAGTGGTGACCTGAGCTCTGGTAGGTTTATTGTTGAGGCAGAAGTGATGTAACAGGAAAAAAAAACGGATCTCAAATAATAAACTCGTCATTTTGTGGATCACTTCTCTTCCGTTGTTTATGTTACGTATGACGAAAGCCTTCTGGGGCGAGTCCTCGTGGAACCCATAGAGATTGTATTGTAATTTATTTTTATTTATTTAACCTTTGTTTAACCAGGTTTGTCCCATTGAGATCTGAGGATCTCATTTGCAAGGGAGACCTGATCAAGAATCGCAGCAATACATAGTTACAACAAACAGTCACACAGACTCAATACAGAATAAAAATGTGAGGAAGCATCAGTTAAAACAGAGACATTCAGAGAGTTTGTACTCCAGCCTTCAAATTGCAGATTTAGAAAAGGTCAAAGACACCTGAAAGCCTTCCTTCCCAATTCAGATCGGACTCTAGGGACAACAAACTGTATAAATCTCAATGATCTCAGGTTGTGTAATCTGTCCTTTAACGATTATAATTACATCCAAGATGCTTCTCCTTTATTCACTTTTGGTGAATGTAGCCTTGGCCAGGAGGAGTTGATGTCATCAGGTGGTAACCAAGTTCATCGGGCGTTTTGACCCTGAACCACAACACCCTCCCATTGGTGGGCCAGCAGTGGTGGCCAAATCCCTGCCCATCTCCTCCTCCTGGCTTCCAGCTAAGATCCTCTCTCCGGCTCTTTCTGCTGCATCTCTCATCCTGTGAGCTGCTGTCTTTCTCTCCCTCCCTGTCATTCCAATGGCTGTGAGCATCCTCCACACTGACTGGGTAGGGAATCCTTTACAGCCGACCTCGACTGAGAACAGCCATGCCTGCCATCCTTTCCCCCTGCAGTCATGCGAGAGGTCCTGGTATTTGGTGCTCTTTCTCTCAAACACCTGCTTACAACCCTCTTCCCCTAAGTTCTATGAGGATGATCTTCTTTGCCTCATCAGACCACAGCACCACATCTGGCCTCAGGGTTGTCTAGACAACCTGGGGGAATTGTAGTCTTCCCCCTAGGTCTACCTTCCTTTCCCATGGTTGGGCCTTTTGTAGCAGGTTGCTTCTTGTTGTTGCTGTGGTTGGTGGCTTTTGTCCCTCCCCAACAAACTTAATAGATGGCATTGTTGTCCCATGTGGTTGTCGTTTCTTGCATCTCTCCTGCTCCAGGGTGTTAGTGAGTGTCATGAGCACCTTGTCATGGCGCCACCTGTATCTTCCTTGGGCGAGTGCTGTTTTACACCCTGACAGGATGTGCGCCATGGTACCCCTCTCTCTGCAAAGCTTGCACAATGGGTCTTCCCTCAAACCCCACTTGTGCAAGTTTGTTGGTGTTGGGAGTGTGTCATACACCGATCTTAGCAGGAAAGAGGTGTGGAAAGGCTCCAATCTCCATAGATCTCCCCATGTGATCTTCCTCTTGGGTAGATCCCATTTGGTCCATGCTCCCTGGGACGATAGCTCCACTGCTTTCGCCCTTCAACCTTACTCCTCCAGGTTTCTTACTCCCTCCTGGATAATGCCTCATCGGTCCCTAGTTCCTGCTATCGCCCATTGCTGGATATGGGAAGTTCCAAGACCCTGTCCTCCTGTGCATGGTAGTCCAATGATGTCACGTAGCTTCAACATACTTTCAGCTTGTGCGACGGACGAGTCAGCTACCCACTTGCGTCCTGATCTTGTGAGGATGCCTGCATGTCTGGCCTGTTCATCCTGGGAGTCTCTGTATGTCATTACGACTCTGCACTTGGATACCTTAAATTCCTCCACCACGGATGACAGAGGAAGTTGAAGCTGCCCTGATCTTATATACAGGCCTACTGAAGTGAAGCTTGGATGGATTACCAACCATTTCCAGAGGTACTTATTGATCTTCCTCTCCACTCCTTCCACGCTTGTTATAGGAACTTCATACACCGTCAACAGCCACATGAGTCTTGGCAGCAATCCATGTTGATAAAGCCATGCTTTAAACTTCCCAGGGAGCCCTGATTTTTTGATCCTCCTCAGCCATTGCTCTGTCTGCTTTTTTTGTACTGGTGACGCTGTTCCTTTCGGTAAGTGAGTCATCGAACAGCTTTCTGAGGCACTTGATTGGATTATCCTCTATCGATGGAATCACCTCTCCTTGCACCTGCAGCTTGACCCTGTTTGTCAATTTACCTTTCCTGATCACCATTGCCCTGGTTCTATTTCATCCCTGCTGACCACCAGAGGCGGTGCTTAAAGCACTAAATATTTCCTTCGCGCATGCGTAGTTCGAGTACTTATACCAAAATGGTCACGTGTGACCCCTGATCCTCCGGGAAAGTCTATAACTTCCGGAGGCCATCAGGGGGTCAGTCCCTTTTCTCTTCTCGTGCGATCGAGTTGTGGAACTTTTCCCTCACTTGTTTAATAATTAAACTGCGCTTGTCGGCAAAGTCGCTTGTGGTTCCGTGGCCATAAATAGCTTGGAGCAGCGAGCGTTCGCCCTCCAGGAACTGCAACTTGGAACGCTGCCGGAGCTAGCACCTGGATGCTATAGTGCACCAATCAGCGTCTCACCGGAGGTGAGGGAGGATTCTCGCTACCCCTCCGGGCAGCGACAGGTAAGACCGCGGGTGGTAGTATCCACGTTTGAGTCGCTCATGTTGGAGCGACTGTGATTTGTGTTTGTTTTGTACCTCCATTGGTATAGGCTGCGTGCGCGCCGTCTCCCTCCAGCTAAGGTTCTTTCATTTGCTTCGAACGGGCCGTTAGCGCTCCGTTATCGCTCCAATTTAAAGTCTTCTTTCATTCTTTTTTTCCGGGTATCCCGCTGTATCGCCACAGCGGCATTTTGTTTTCTGAATCGTCCCCCCTGCGGCAAGCGGGGGCGCTTTCTGCTCCAAGCGTGGAGGCTTGGTTGATGCTGGGTTTTGCTTTTCACTCAGCGTAGCTTGTGTTTGTAGTGCCTCTGCTGGTGCAGGCAGCTACGCACTCCCTTCCCCCAGCCTATGGATCCTATGGTTTGACTAGTCACTAACAGTGGGGTTTTTCTTTCATGTTGGGAAACTTTCCCATTGTTAGTTAATGTAAATTTTGCTTTTCCCCAGCCTGTGGCCTCTACTGTGTAGCTAACTACAAGTAGTGGATGGTCTAATTGAAAAAAAAAAAAATCTTTTTGTTTGTACAATATACTTATTTCTATAGATAATATTATTATTAATATTATTATTATCATTATTATTATTGCTATTTTCATTGTCATCAACATCATTGTTATTGATAGTGATATTTTCTTAACAATCACTTCTGGTGACAACCTCTGCTTCTCTGCTGGTACAGGCAGCATACGCGCTTCCTCCCCACAGCAAGTTTTTGTACCCCAACCACACATCAGTCTCTGCTGGTGCAGGCAGCGTACGCGCTTCCTCCCCACAGCAAGTTGTTTTGTACCCCAACCACACGTCAGCCTCTGCTGGTGTAGGCAGCGTACGCGCTCCCTCCCCCCAGCGTAAGTAAGTACAGGTTCGCGACCACAAACGGTGGCGTGCGCGCTCGGCCCTCGTGGTGACCAGGGATGGAGGGCTCACACTTTTGTTCCTCCTGCGAGGCTCCTCTCCAACCAGACAATGGCCATGACCTGTGTCCCAGGTGTCTTGGTCCTGAGCATCTGAGGGAAGCGCTGGACAATTGCAGTAGCTGCATGAATTGCAGCTATATGCCTCTGGCCGTGAGGGCTGCCAGGCTGGCTGAGATAGGGCAGCCACAGGCAGGGGGTTACTCTTCCTCCATCGGGCCAGCCCCCTCCACCCCGAACCAGGCAGTCAAGGCGTCGGGCTGAGGCAGCCACCACCAGTGCTGCCCCCCCTCCCAGAAAGAAGCCAAGGTCTGATCGGGGGTTGACATCCAAAGTTAATCAACTATCTGATGAGTTGGCCCAGATGAGGTCAATGCTAATGGCCCGCCAGCCTGACTCCCCTTCAGAGAAGGCAGGGGTTCCTGACCCTCCAATGCCCCATCTCACGCCGGAGGAGGATACACTCTCCCTGGCAGCCTCAGCTACTCATTTTCATGAGTATGGGGAAGACGCAGAAGGCAGTGCATCCCAGCTGTCCGATCCAGGCTCCTATTCCTCTGACCAGAGCTCCCGGACAGAGACGGGAGATCACTGTATGCGCACAGTTATGCGAATGGCCTTGGAGCACCAAAACTTAGACGTCCCAAAGGTGGAAAACTCTGCACCCGCAAGTGCTTTCTTCAGGCGCAGGCCGCCACCCACTGCCTTCGCTGTACCTCACTCACCGGACTTCCTGAGGGAACTACAGGCTAGTTGGATGTACACTAGGGCCGGCTCCCGTATGTCTGCTGACGCTCGAACTCTGGCAGCCATGCATAATGCGGCAGCAGTGGGCCTGGATCATATGCCAGCCGTGGAGCCAGCCATCGCATCCCTCATCGTCTCCCCCGACGAGGCTCTGCGCCGGGAGACCAGGTGCCCCCGGCCCCAGTGCAGGATAACAGATGACCTGCTTGTTAGGGCTTATGACTCTGGGGCACGTGCTGGCCGCATTGGGAACTCCCTCTCACACCTTATGCTGGCTCTCTCAGCCTCCCTGCAAGAAGGCGACGTGGGTACAGGGAATGTGAGTGGTGATACCATCAATGTGTGACGCGGCGCTCGAGAGCTCAGGCGGATGATGTCCACTGTTGTCCAGGCCCGACGCCAAGTCTGGCTGTCACAGTCAAACCTGACTGAGGCCTCAAGGAGAACCCTCAGGAGCCTTCCAGTGGAGCCAGGAACCGTGTTTGGCTCAGCTGCTCAGGAAGCGCTGGAGAGAACTATTCAGACGGGGCAGACCAGACAACAACTTGCAAGCCTCCGTCGCATGCCTCCCCCTAGCAGGCCCCCCTCTGGCAGAGGTAGGGCCACGGCTGCCCCCAGGGCTCGCCCTCCACCACCACCTCACACTGTGGGCCAACGATGCCCTCAGCGACCCACGCAGGCACAGACCCCCGACTTGTGGGCCTCCGCCCCGTTGCCCTCCTGACAGTTTCGGGCCCGGGACCCTGGACGACCCCCCACCAGGGCCCCTAGGGGTCAGGGGGCCAGGCACTGAGGCTACAGGGCCGGCCGTCGGAACGTTATCACACCAGCAGCTCAGGGACTGGGCTGCTTGAGCTTCAGACCCGTGGGTGGTTACCACCTTAACCCATGGGTACAAGCTCCAGTTCCGATACCGGCCCCCCACAGCCGGCCGGGTCAAAATGAAAGTTATCGGTGACCCGGCAAAGGCCCTTGCGTTAGAGCAGGAGCTGTCCGTCCTCCTGACCAAGGGTGTCATCAAAGAAGTGGACATCCCAGGGGGTTCTACTCGACTTATTTTCTCGTCGAGAAAAAAACTGGCAGACATCGTCCTATCCTGGACCTGAGGGGACTCAACCGGTTCCTCAAGGTCATGCCCCTCCACATGCTGACCACGGCAGAGGTGTTGCAGACTGTTGCCTGCAGGGAGTGGTTCACATCTGTGGACTTGGAGGACGCATATTTTCATGTCCCCATCGCCCAGGAACACAGGCCCTTCCTTCAGTTTGCCTATCGAGGTCACCACTGGCAGTTCCGCGTGCTACCGTTTGGCCTCTCTCTGTCTCCAAGAGTTTTCTCCAGGTGCGTCGCAGCCGCATTAGCGCCACTGCAATCCCAAGGCATGAAGATAATCCCTTATCTGGACGACTGGCTGGTGTGCGCACCATCCTGGGCACAGGCCACAGAGGAGACAGCGCGCCTCCTGGCCCACGTGGCCCAACTGGGACTCAAGGTGAATATCGAAAAGAGCTGCCTCGTACCATCGCAAACAACAATATTTATTGGTCTGTCCTTGAACACCATAATGACGAAAGCCTGTCCCCCCGCCGGGTGGACGATATGCTCAATCTTCTGCTCCTTTTCCGGGGAGGCAGGCGACTGCCACTCCTCACATTCCTCCGTCTCCTGGGCAAACTAACTTCTGTTGCAGCAGTTGTCCCGCTGGGTTTGTTGTCACTGCAGCCCCTGCAGAGGTGGCTCAACAGCTTCCACCTGGACACCAAGCGGCATGGGCGGAGGAGGATCGGTGTCTCACGCCAGTGTCTTCTGGCCCTTGCTTAGTGGAGGGACAGGGCTTACATCTCAGGGGGTGTCCCCATGGGGTCTATCCCGTCCCGCAGGGAGGTCATTGCCACCGACGCCTGCCTGTCAGGCTGGGGTGCGGTGTGGCAGGGCAGGACAGCTCACGGCCAGTGGTCTGTGGAGGCTGGCGCAGAGCACATCAATGTGCTGGAACTGCGAGCGGTGCACTTGGCCCTTCAGCACTTTCTGCCATACCTGGAAGGCAAGCATGTTCTTGTCAGATCAGACAACACATCCACAGTGTATCACATCAACCACCAGGGCGGGACAAAATCTGCACGGCTGCTGCAGGTGTCCAAGGACCTCCTGACATGGGCAGCCCCCCGCCTGGCCAGCCTAAGGGCAATGTATTTACCGGGAGAGCAGAATCAACCTGCCGATTTTCCCCGTCAGAAGCCTCCTCCGGGGGAGTGGTGCCTCCACCCAGAGGTGGTGTGTGCAATCTGGGGCCGCTACGGCAGGGCAGAGATAGACCTCTTTGCCTCGGAAGCATCAACTCACTGCCCACTCTGGTTCTCCCTAGCAGAGACAACCAGCCCTCTGGGCCAGGATGCACTGGCTCACCCATGGCCAGAGGCACTTCTTTATGCCTTTCCGCCCCTCCCTCTGATACGGCCACTTCTACAGAGGGTTCTTCAGGGGGTCACACCATACTGCTGGTGGCCCCTTTCTGGCCAGGGAGAACTTGGTTTCCCCTGCTGTGCAAACTCTGCCGCGGGGCACCATGGTGTCTTCCAGACAGGAAGGATCTTCTCTCGCAGCTAGGGGGCCGGATCTGGCACCCCGAACCCCGCCTCAAACTGTGTGTTTGGCCGCTGGGGGGCCTGAACTGCTGCTGAGCAGCTGTGGGGACCAGGTGCGATGTACCATCATGAACGCCAGGGCACCATCCACCAGGTTACAATACGGCAATAGATGGAAACTGTTTTCAACTTGGTGTCAGAATCGGGGTGACGACCCAGTGCATTGCTCCGTGCCTGTGGTCCTGGAGTTCCTGCAGTCGCTCCTGGGTAAGGGCAGATCTCCGTCTACCCTGAAGGTCTACGTGGCAGCCATATCAGGCCATCACGCCAGAGTTGATGGTGTCATGTTGGGAAGCCACAGTCTGGTGTCCCTATTCCTGAGGGGGGCGCGGAGGCTGAACCCTCCTGGAACCCAAAGAGTTCCGGCGTGGGATCTTAACATTGTATTGGATGCCCTAAGTAAGCCCCCTTTCAAGCCTCCCATCCATTGGGTGTGGTCCTTCTCCCGGAGTCGTCTGATTCTACCCTCTGAGGTTTGTGACGGGATTCCTCGTGACTTTGCTGGTATTAGTCATTCAGTGCTTTAAGCGCCGCCTCTGGCGGTCAGCAGGGATGAAATAGAACGAAAGTTACGTATGTAACTACGGTTCTATGAATCCCGAATGACCGCCAGAGCTCATGTCACTCAGAATCCTCGGGCTCTCACGAGAAGATTCTGTAGGGACAGACCCCCTGATGGCCTCCGGAAGTTATAGACTTTCCCGGAGGATCAGGGGTCACACGTGACCATTTTGGTATAAGTACTCGAACTACGCATGCGCGAAGGGAATATTCAGTGCTTTAAGCACCGCCTCTGGCGGTCATTCGGGATTCATAGAACCGTAGTTACATACGTAACTTTCGATTTATTTGGCCTAAACTTCATTCTGGCCCACGTTGCCATTTGGTCCAGAACTGTTAGCACCCATCTCACCTCCACATGGGTTGTGGTCGTCACCGTAAGGTCGTCCATGTAACCCCTTATTGGGGGTTGTTGGATGCCTGATTCCATTTTTGGGCCTATCAATAAGGAGGAGAGGTAGTCTGGAATTCTTCCAAGAATGCCTTTGTAAATAAAAACGTACGAATGACCAAGCTGACGATGTACTTGAAGAAGTCCAACTGACTTTGGAGTATAAAGTACAGCGATACGTTAAAAATCCACAGTTTGTTATAAACCTTAGAGCTCTGAGGTCTGCCCAACATTTGCAATGGCATTCATATATAAAACATCACCATAATCAAGAAGAGGTAAGAATGTAGACCCACAAGTCTCTTTTTAACATTAAAAGAGAAACAGGACTTGTTTCTGTGGTAAAAGCCTAGTAAAACTTTCAGCTTTCTAACAACATGCTTAATATGTTCTTTAAAAGACAAGTTGTCATCCAGTAAAAACCCCAGGTACTTAAAAGAAGACACAAGCTCAAGTAATGCCAGATATCTGGGGGGAAAAAACAAACAAGCATTAAAGTCAATGGGAGCAGTCGGGGCGATTTTCAGCCTTACTGAAACAAGGTGGTACCTTGTGAAGCACTGCCTTACGCTGATTGGACAGTGACATGTATAGCAGCTGCAATTATCTAAAACTGTTATAACCACCAGACCACTGTGGAAAAATAAAAAAAATATATATTGTTTTTCCTTTGGTGGTGCATCACCTGATTGACCTTATGGACACACTGCTCAGGGCTAAGGGTAACACTTGGAATTAGCCCTTAGTTTGAATGATGGAGTCACCCCAGTAGTGGTGTGTCAGTCATAAACGAACGGATCAAAAGAACTAGTTCTTTTTGGTGAACGAAATGAACGAGGTCACTCCCCCTAAATGACCCGTTCAGTCCGTTTGATTGGCTGAAGAGTAAGTTCACTGTTCCTTAGGGCGGGACTATCTCCGTGCTTGCCTGTCTTATCCTATCATCGCGCCTCGCTCTGTGTGTGGGTGGGGCTTAGAGAAGCAGCAGCAGTACTGAGCTCAGCTGACTGAAAGACCGGGACCGATGACCGAGTTGACTGAAAGTCAGGTCGGTCTGACCGAGAGATTGACCAGCTCTCAGACTGACTGAGTACAAGCATTCACTCTCTGCGAGGTGCTGTCAGCCTGTCACCAGCTGACTGACTTGTGAACGCAACGAGATGTACTGAATAAAATAAACTATAAGGCAGTCTCTTGAGGGGGGTATCTGTACTCATGAGTCCAACAAACAGTGCTGCGGCCGCCGCACGAGCCAACAGCTGAGCCCGAGCGAGTGAGACAGTCTCACACACACACACACACACACACACACACACACACACACACACACACACACACACACACACACACACACACACACACACAAACACACACACACACACACACACAGCTGCTGCTGCAGCCAGAGGCAGAGACTCAATAGCAGAAGGTTTAGCGTGCTAAGCTAACAAACAGCTAGCCTAGCTATATAGCTTGGTTTAGCTGGGTCAACATGCCGGTGTTTGGTGTAAAAAGTGACCCTGTTACCTGGAGACTTTCGAAAAAAGGCGCATGAGGTTGTCTCAAGTTGCACAGCTGTTGAATACGTATCCTTCGATCTCTCTGTGTTTTGAATGTCAGCAAAGATGTATCTGTTGGAAATACTTGATGTTATTGTCACAAAGGGAGCTATGAGGCTCTCGTTCATTCAAAGTCTGAACAGATCTCCCCCTGCATAAACCCGGTCAGCGCATCTGAATGAACATGAACATGAGCGAATGGACTGACTAACGACCAATTGACCGAAATGACCGGATCTTTTTACTGAACAAACCGGAATGATCCGGTTCACTGAAATGAACGGTTTTGCCCACCACTACACCGCAGAGCTCTCAGAGGGAGGACAGATCCCAACAGGAGACTGCGCTCACGGTACACTTTCTCAGTCTTCACCAATACCTCAAGCTTGTCACTTTTACTGGGCAGAATTGATGTTCCCTATGATGGAAGAAAGGGTTTACAGCTTTATTTCCAAGCCTTCAACTTTGCCTTTACCTCCACACCAGCATGGTAATCAGGAAAAACACCTCCAGATGTCTGCTGGAACTGATTGCTGCTGTCCAGACCCACACCGCGTCAATGATAGACACTCCTCGCCTAAATAATTAGAGCAAAAATTGCAGAAAATTCAGAGACTAGACTTTGCAGCTCCTTGGTTGAGTGCAGGTTCAGGAATGAGGTCAGGTCAGCAGAGGAGCAGCAGCTTCACAGTCACCATCTTTGTGCATTGTAGCTGTGTGTGTGTATGTGTGTGTGTGTGTGTGTGTGTGTGTGTGTGTGTGTGTGTGTGTGCTGTACACTAAAATAGTTGCACAGGATCCTGTAACTCTCGTCAAACCTGGAGGCCGACCCCTCCCACCTGAACCCCACAGGTTCACAGCTGAGCAGATGTGGCGCGATGAGAGCAGGTGAGGGGGTGTCTTCCTTTCAGCCCCCCCCGCCACACACACACACACACACACATACATGCGCACACCTCCTTGGCCTGTCCTCTGAGCTCCATGAGGCCTGGCTGCCCATTGCTTCCTGTGACAAGCCAAGCTGTCTGCTGACCACTTCATTTCTGATGCTGGCAACAGAGACTCTGCTCACTCTCTCTCCCTTACTCTCTCTCTCTCTCTCTCTCTCTCTCTCACACACACACACACACACACACACACACACACACACACACACACACACACACACACACACACACACACACACACACACACACATTTGGCTGAGGGGAACGTCATCCAAAAAGAAGAAGCAGAGTTTCCAAATAACCAAACACTGGCTGCTCTCAGAGTGTTTGCTCTGTCTCTGTCTCATTGTGTTTCTGTTTGTCTTCCTTTCCCCTCTCTCTTCTCTCTCTTTCTCTCTCTCTCTTTCCTCTTTGTTTAAAAGCTCTGTTGCCTTTTTCCATAGTTTCTCTCTCTGGTTGTTTTACTTTCTTTTAAAGACTTTACATTCTCCTGCTCAGTTTCTCTCTTTCTCTCTCTCTCTATCTCTCTCTCCCTCTCTCTCTTTGTTTCTGTCCATCTTCAGCCTGTCTCTCTCTGTGCATCATATTCATGTCTTTTCTGCCCCTTTACTTCCTTCATTTTAAAAAAAAATTTGTCTCATGTCATGTCTTTTAGAGCCTGGTTTGCCAGACGTAAGCTGAACATCTTATTTTGTTTTTTATTCATAACTGTCTGTTTCTCTTTTTTTCTTATCGTCTATTTAAAATTTTCACTCTTAAGTGTTATTCAAAAGTAAACAGTAAAATTAGGCTGCAATCTCTTTAGTTGTGTTTTCACCCTTGAAATTGAAAGTTTTGCTGAATGACAAATTATGGCAATGATAAAAACCAGGAGGACTGACTGAAGGATTTCGATTTCTAAGAACTCAAACTCAAACCAATGCTTAAACCTCCTTTAGTTATCAGAGACTGAGGAGACTGACAGTGAGAGTGCATCAGTCCAGATTAAAACCAGAACCTCATCACAGTAAAAGAACATGAGCAGATTCAAACATGGGAGGAACTTAAAACTCCAAACATTTGCATTTTATTTTGTTTCCCTCCATATCCTTTTAGAGGCTCCTCAATAAACATATGTTTGAATTAAAAAGAAAAACACAAAATATTAAGAAGAAATTTTTAAAATGGTTGGGACGTTTTCTTGTTAAGTTACTCATGGAGAATAGTGTTACAATGTTTCATGCCTATATCACCAACTTTAAATCATTTAACTGCTCTAATGAAATGGTGGCCATCTTTAAAATTGCTGCCATCGGAAAATTTCAAGCAGCTTTGGGCATTTTCTTGTTAAGTGACCCATGAAGACTGTTCATACCAATTTTCATGGCTATATCACCAATTTAACAAGTACATCACCTAATTGTTCCACTTAGGTGGTGGCCATCTTGAAAAATGGCCGCCATCTTGAAGTTTCAAATGTCTGGGACAATTTCCTAGTAAAGTGACCCATGGAGAATGTTCATGCCAATTCTCATGCTTGTATCACCAACTGAATGCTTCTGGCTAAAATTTGTACTCGGCCACTGCACTAAATGAATTTCATCAACATCACAGACGATATCTTCATTAGCAAGACAACGAGGGAAGAACTGGTGTACATGTTGATTTCATCCTTGAATGGCTATGGCATCAATTTAGTCATAGGCCTCCTCCATGGCCTGAATGAGGGGCACCTGAAACTGGGGCTGAAGATCATAAACCTTCCACCACCATGTTGAGAACTCCTCGATTGGATTGAGAAATGGAGAGTGGTGGAAGGTATAGCACAGAAAATTGAGGATTGTGCTAAAACCAGTTGTGTACCTGTGCAGAGCAGAGGAATGATACATTGTCCCAGAGGACAATGTATTGCATCTGTTGTATTAGTTCCACTGTGAGGATGTTGTTCAATTGGTCCAGATATGTCAGAATGTGAGCTGTGTTGTAAGCGCCCTTATTGGCATGACAGAGGAGGACCCCATCCTGTGTAATGGCAGCGCAGAGGATGATGTTACCCCCACGCTCTCCTGGGACATTGATTATAGCACTGTGGCCATTGATGTTTCTGCCTCTCCTTCTTGGTTTTGTGAGGTTAAACCCTGCTTCATCAATTGTGATAAACTTGTGTGGGATTTCTTCAGCATCCATCTGTAAAACTCTGTAATACAGTGAAAGACAAGATTGTGTAGTTTAGCATGGATCTAATACACTGTAAATTTAGGTTACATTTGCAGTGTGAAACATCACGGTGCTAACATGAACAATACATACCTCCACGTATGCATGCTGCAGCTGTTTGACCCCCTCCAAGTTCCATTCAAAAGGCACTCGATACAGTTTGAACATTTGAACTAGATTTTTTTTCAGGGTGCATGCCAATGTTGAGAGTGAGACCTGATGAACATTATTGAAAATGCCATCTTCACCAATGATGTTGACTTAATTTCTCTGAGCCTCATTTCATTTTTGGCCAGAACCATGTTTATGATTGCTCTTTCTTGTTCTGTGAAAATAGGCCCCCTTCCTCCTTGTAGCTCTTGCCCCTGAATCCTATGTGGAAAGAAATACATGTAACTAGTTGTTACATGCAGTATGAACAGTGCTGATATGGTACATACTTACCCAGGATTTTCGCCACATCTGGAACAGCTCTGGTTTTCCGCGTATGCCAATTCCTACCAGATCTGTTTGTAAGGCGAATTTCGTGGTGGATTATGGACAGCAGGAATCGCGAGAACTAACTCTGTGGGTTCCACAGATTCACGTACAATCACATGATAAGTTGTCTTTAGCCATATAGGCTAACCATATAAGCAGTAGATTGTGTCCTTCCAGAGGAGGAAATCCACTTCTAGACCTATAAAATCAGCATCCTCTCATCCGTGGTGTCATCGCGATGAAATGCTGAATATAAACCTTTCACTTGTTCATCCCGCCCGTTTGCTTGGTGTGAAATACGATCTACCTGAAACACAGAGTGTTTTATTTTGAAAAAAAGCCAGATGTTTTATTTTGTTTATGTGCCTGACTTCCTTTATCAGGCATGCTTCGGCGTCTGGAAAAAATAGAACTTTTGCAATCAGCTGAGGAGTCCGGCGATCCGCAGCGGAACGGAAAGAAGCCAGTGGAAATTGACACATTAACTTGAATGGTTACGATCAGTTACGATTGGCGGATATGGCCTTTTTGTAGCCATTACGGATGCAGTGGAAATTGGGGGTTAGTTGATATCTTTTTTTTAGAAAAATTTGGTTTTTTACCTGTTTTCTTGTCCATATGGCCTGATCACAGATGCCACTGTATATCTGCTAAGATTTAGCTGAACTCTCGGTCCAGCCTCCCTGAGCGTCAGTCCATGGTTCCCCACATAGTCAACTAAAGTTGCCCTAATTTCATCAGATAAATTTGGTCCTCTCCCTTTTAGAGCATGTATTCCTGCTTCAGGTCTTCCTCTGCCTCTGCCTCTGCCTCTTCCTCTACCTCCACCTCTA